CCCCCCCCCCACCATCTTGCTTTAGATAATATCCCAACTGATTCATTACTTCAAGACCCAGCTACTTATTTACATAAAATAAACACAAAGATTGGAGGTCAATGAAACTGGTGTCCTTGGCCTGATAATTGCTGGTTGGTGTACATGCCAAGTAGCATGCTATCTTGCAGGGCATTGACTTACCACAATCGCCATTGTTTACATCCTCACTCAAGTTTGATTACTTTCAAATGTACATGGCTCCATGAAATATATTAAAGATGAGCACTGACATTGTCTTCCCAAGTGTTTTTTGGTTTTTTTACATAGACATCGAGTGTTGAGCAGGTAAACTTAACCAGGTATATGTTGTAATAATTATTCTTTGAGTCAAATTATGAAGATGGACCCTGAAACTTTGAAAACTGAGTTTAGAATGGAAATGGAAATTTTATTACAATCTCAGATAATTCTTTAAAAAATGTATTCAGTACAATGACAGATTATATTAAAATAATCTCTTAAATATTCTCAACACATTTTAAATTCCAAAAACACAGATATCATTTTTTTTGTGTGTAACCAACTCTTTCAAGTTTGTAAGGCCAGACAGGGTGAGGTCCTTTTAGTACACAAAAATTATTAGGTAGACAGATGGGCCTTTTCTTATTTTTTTTCTTCAGTTAGAAAATGTTAAAAACTCCATCTTAATTAAACACTCCATCCAATTTAAGTATTAGATGAAACCCCATTAAACCAGAATTAGTGGCGGTGCTTGATCTGTCCCCCACCAGACAGATCAATCTTTCCCCCACCTCCATAGGACAGAGCTCATCAGGCATTCGGACTAAATAAATATAAAAATAGGCCCACGCCAAGCCAACAGATGTCTGCCACAGTCAGAAAGTGTGTTTATCTGGCCATTCAGAGGTTGCTTCTTAAAAAAATCTCATTTGGGAGGGGGACCCTTTCAAACCCATCTCCCAGCTAAGCCTATGAGCTCAGTTCCCTGTGTCAGACAGCTCAGCCCCCAAAAAATATATACCAGCGCCGCCACTCATGGGATGGCGCCAGCTGGCCAAGCACCCCCCCCCCCTCCGCCGGGGAGAAAAAAAATTATATTCCTTCCCCCTCCCCGGAGCTACTTTCGGAACTTTTAAGTTGAAGATCGACCACGCCCACTTTGCTAATAAAAAGAGTATAAAAACGTTTTGATCCTTTTGATTATAGGTTGGGGTATAGTAGGGGATGGTGACAAATTATCCCCATACTATAAGTTACCGTATAAATATGTCATTGGAATAGATATGTTTTAGTTCGACCATTCTCAATTTTTGCAACTTCCCCTCGAGCCCCATTTACACTACTAGACACGATTATGACACAACAACGATATCATTGCATCATCGCGTAGTTTGTATTCTTCATGCACTGCGTGCATCTGTATTGAGTCGTTGTAATGAACTTGTCAATTTTAGTCCCGCGTCCCCCCCCCTTCCCGGGCTTTGCGGGGACTTACACGCATTTCAAATCTCTCTTGTTGGTAACTACAGTATTAAGATAGGTAGTTTCCAGGTCCTGGACTAGGACACAGGAGACTTGGCCATGCATGACTACACAACACAAACAGAAAATCGATTCATTAAATGTTTTTAGTAGGCCTATGTCTTCGCTGTTCATAACCAAAAATAAATACAGTATGCAGTGCGGTCGTTAGCCAAGGCACGTGAATTTGGAAGTTGTTTTTCAGTGATCACGCCACATCATCTATCACGTGGAAACCCCTGGAACGTTGCTGTTTTCATAATAATACAGGATAATCCATTACAGAAGGGAGCTTATTTTTTCAATTATATCAAGTTTTTTTGTTAGTCTTTAAAAAAATCTCAAATAATGATAGGAAAACTTAATGATAAAAAAAAATCGGTGTAGGAAAAATAATCGAAGTAGATTTTGGGTTGACTGTAGAGAAATTGTTAATTATACATGAAGATAACATAACTCTCTGTAATGGGATAGTCCGTATGATGACGCGTTGAAATCAAATGACTCAAACACGTCATCACAGGACATTCATAATCAAATTAGCTACTCTGACCTTTGGGTTTGTTTACTATAAAGAGGTTACGTCAGCCGTATTTTTGCCACTCTACATTCTCTTTGCAATGCGAACACATCAGCTATCTTCTCTCAACTACAATCATGGCTTGCGTACTCAAATGGCTGGCCTAGGAGACATGAAGGCATTTAGTTCTACTAAACCCACACTTCAGGAAAGCGGATTGTTACTACTATTTGAAGGTTACGGATGATCATTGGAGCTATTTATAAAAATCTAGGCTATTTTTTATCTGCTGAATTCGTGAATTGTGTAAGTTACTAGAATAGGCCTTGCCTTGCTTTAGGCTAGGCCTGGTTAAATCATGTTGATTGTTTTGTTTATGGATTTGTTTTTGTTTTTGTTTTTTTTTTAAATATATATATATATTTTTTAATATATACTAGCCTAGCTATAGGATGTAGGCCGGGCCTAGTATGTGTTTGGTGTCATTTTTTTTTTTGACGAATTTCAAGACGAGACTAAGAAAGAGTTATCATAGGCTAATAGGACATCACTGTGGTGTGCAGTCTATGCCCAGCAAAAGTAATTATTATACTGTAATCTACAAACAAATACAATATAGGCTTAGATAGTATTGTGTAGTAGGCCTAAGCTAGTAGTTGTAGGTAGCTTAGGAAGGTGGTTTCTCGTGACCGGAAGTATCGTTACTCATTGATTCACGTCGTTCGCGAATCGTAGTTCCATTCCAGTACAGCCTGTTTATGCCTGTACTGTAAGTACTGTTAAAGTAGATATCTACCCCTATACTACCTAGGCATAGCCTAGTTTTTTTTTAATTTACAAATAAGAAGCTTGCTAATGCTGATAAACCTTCGCCTTGTACAGTGTTGTTTGTTTAATTGAATTACTGTGTACAATTGTATGTTATAAATAACTGGGTCAAGTATTTGCCAATAATATAACTTGAACTTCACCTATGGCCTAGTTAGACATAAATAATAGTCTAGGCCACAGGTGGGTGAAGTGCAGCCGACACTGATTTTGTTTTTTGCAGCCCACTAATCATCTTGGCTAGAAAACGCCTTGTTTTTTGGCGGCCCAGCACCAATCATCTGTACAAACTAATAGTAAAAGCATAAAGGTTTTGGAAGTCAGCTGAAAAGTTTGGGTGTGGCCCTCGGAGTTGAATAAAATAAAACTTTGGCCCTCCGACCCATTTTAATGGCCACCACTGGTCTAGGCGCTTGATGACCTTGTTGACAGCTACCCAGTATTCGGACTGACTATTGATTATTCATTGAGGCAAAACCTACTAGACAATTTTTTAAAACAAAAATACTATACTTATATAATTTATACTATACTTGGTGATTAAATCTATTAAAATAAAATTAGATTTCTTAAAAATACAATATAAAATCATTGTTATATAATATTAAAATTACTTGTAGTAAACTCTGGAATTTCCCTTGTCATTAGGTTATAGATATGACAAAATTACTTTTCTTCTCAATGTGCAAAACCTGTTAGTAGGACTGTACTTTCCAACTAACTGTACTTTCCACATTTTAAATTTCCCTTGATGATTAACAGTACTTAGGCCTACAGTACACCACCTAACCAGTGCCAATAAGTGCATATTTCAAGATGACATAAATTACATTGTCAATGAACACTTTAGAAATTTCCAGAACACCAATGATGTGATGTTTATTTTTAAATAAGGATAATTGTATTCAGCAATTTCCCTTAAACTATAAATAGAGTATTTGTTTAGTTCCGTGTGTAGTAACGCATGCTAATAGTTTTTTTGTTAACCTTCGTCATTGTTATTTCCTTTTCTGGACAATTATGGGTTATGTGGGTTTTTTAGCATGTTTGAATGATTCAGTGACTTTTTATGCAGAGTGTAAAATTGGTTTCCCCTTTTTGATCAGAAATGTTATGTTGTGGAAACCAGTGTTGGTGGGAATATTCTGAATGCAAATTACTATACAGTACAGTAGTTTGTTATTCAAGAGTTACACATGGACATTGGATTAAAACACAAAGTAACCATATTAGAGGTATAAACATACATACATTTAAAATGTGATAGAACAAGAGGTGTGATGGAGCCTGTGTCTTTAAGTTTTTTGTCTTCACGTTTACGTCCACAACATGTTGTACTGTCACTCATAGAGAATAAACACTACCACACTAATTTCTCATTCTCAATAAATTACACCACCAGTGTACGCTTTGATCCGTATTGCAGTAATAATTATTGATATTTTTCAGTGTCCAAAACAGTGTAGTCTTTTTGCTGTGGACCAGCAATATTTGTAATTCATGCATACTGTAGTTATTATGCTCATTAGTGTGGAAGAAATTTATATTCTTTGAAGTTATGATGCTGTGCAACACTGTTAACAATGCTGCTGTTAACACTAGGTTGATAACCTCTATTCATAGTGCCTTTATAGCAGTTCTCCGGATCTTATTATACATGGTTTAATTGGTCACATGTTTCCTCTTGGACCAATCGGTGAATTGTTGCTTAACCTACCTTGTTGCAATCTGATTGGCTAATATATCTATTGTTGGGGAGTTCAAGTTGCTCTCAGCTGTGCCTTGTTCTCTGATTGTTTGCAAATATCTATTGTGTGATTCATGATTGTGATGATGTAGGCAAGTCAAGGGTGGCCGGGTTCTATTTCTTGATCAGATGCAATCAAGTTTTCTAGGTGGACGGAAGGATATTCTGAATCTGCTCTTTCTTTCCTCTACCCCAGTGCAATTCCTGGGTATGGCTTTCTGTGCAATATTACTTAGTGTGCAATACTGTAAGTCAAGTTACCTTTATTAATTTGTTTTCTTGCATTTGATTACAAAGTGAGAGGTAGATTTTGACCTTGCTCGTTCTTTGCAAGTCAAGTGCATACGCTTTATTTAAGTGTCTGTATTTTTATTTTTTCAGAATATGACTACTACTACCATACCTATTAGAAGAAATTGTGAAGACAACAGGATGAATAATTTTTGTGAAGTAAGTTCTTTCATCTTTATGTTGTAAATTATATTATATTTCAACTTCATAGAATGTTTTTCACTATAAATTTTCCTGATAAAAGAGTTAAACTGTATTGGAGCATATAGTGGTGGTAATTTAAATTTTACCTTGCATTATTTAGTACATTATTTGATTGTTTTTGTCCAGTATTAAAACAAGCAAGGTTATGGTTTTTTTTTTAGGTAAAGTGTGATAATATGCCTTTGAATGATAATTTTCGGACAGCGAGTCGGCCAACAGCACTTGCTGTTGAGCCATGCTACAATGACAACCATAAGAACAACAACATTCCCTTAACAATAGGTAAGTTGTTATTATTTAGTATCTTATATTATTTATTGTAAAAAACAATTTGATATAAGATTTAGTTCTTTTGTGTTTCTTTCTCTACAACATTCATAGGTTAATAAAATTCAATTTCATAAACTTGTTTTTTTTTACATTGTTTAGAATCTATGGCAATCTCGTCCTCATCAGATGCTAACCCATCAATCCCGATTCCAGAAAACACGAACAAAAAGCGCCGCAGAAGAAAGAAACAAAGATCATCGATAAATGGATACAACAACAAATTTGAAGGTACATCTTTTAATTTAAAATGTTTATGAATGCATAGTTTTACTTTGCTAGGTCGCCAACTTAAAATACTGTCGTAATTTTTTTTTTTTAACAAAAAAATTTTCTTATTTTATATTTATAATTATATTGTCATTTTTCAGATGTGTACATGATGACTGATGATTTGTTAGGTCAAGGGGCATATGCCAGTGTCAAGACTTGTATACATGTCCAGACTGGAAAACACTATGCTGTTAAGGTAAGCTAACGTTTTTGAGATCATCCATAAAAGATGTTTGTTGTGATAAGGAGTTGTCTTAAATTGCAGGAAGATGATGCAATAATATTGCTTCCTCTGCAATATTTTACTGTAAGGTTTTCTAGTCGTCTTGGGTACTATAATGGATAGATAATCTTTTAGTCAAAACACATAGACCATACTTTTTCTACAAGTCTCTGACCATTAATGTTACAATTTAAGAAGGTATGCTGTTGCTCATTAGAAAGGATTTGTCTATAAAAACAGCTTAACAATTGAGTAATAATGTTAATGGTATGTATCCCTTCTGGAAAAATCCATGGCCAAGATAAATGTCTCTGTGCCTGGATGACTTAGTTTGACCCCACAACACAATGTATTTGTGCAGAGAAAATCTATTGTTTTGACCTGCATTGTTTTTTTGGGACTGCTCAACAGAAGATTACTTACTGATGACATCACAATCTGTCCAATCAATTTGCAGCATTCAATATGTTCAACAATGCGTAACAGTAAATGAACAAAGCAATTAAAGTCTGCCTGACTGTAGAGTAGTGACTCAGTCGGAATTTCTTCTTTTTTTTTGTAACACATCAATGGCTTAAACATATTTTTAGTATGCTTTGTAATAAGTTGACCCACCCATGGCGGTGATGTACCATGACCTAATCCTTTATGAACAGAGATATATACTTACACAGGTGTGCTCTTCAGAGAGGCGTGATCAATGTTTGTGTTGGGTCATTAACAGATTTGGCTAATGATTCATTGTTTATTAGTGCCTAGTGTTTAGCATACGTGGCCTTTATCAAATGCACTTGGCATCTTAATTGAATTAATTGGATTTCTTTTATCTACCAATTAACATTCGGTTTCAAACAAATTATGCATGTTCAACAATTTCAAGGAAAACAATATAATCGGACATTTTTTTAGCTTAAAATATGGTTAGCTTTAATAGATTAAAGATAAATTTCAAGCAAAACATGTTTCTGTTGCAGATAAATTCAATATTTAATACTAAAATATATTAATCACTAATATCATAGAATGTTTATGTTTTAGGTTATTGAAAAGCGATCTGGAAACAGTCGAAGTAAAGTGTTCCGTGAGGTTGAGACGTTGTACCATTGTCAAGGCCACAAGAATATCTTGCAACTGTTTGAATTCTTTGAGGAAGATGACCGCTTTTTCTTGGTATTTCCCAAGATGGAAGGCGGTGCTCTTCTGGACCACATCGAACGGCGCAAGACATTCACAGAGTATGAAGCTAGTATCGTTGTGCGGGACATTGCGTGTGCCCTGCAGTTCCTCCACCATAAAGGTAATCAGTAGCATGTTTTGATTTAGGAAATTTAAATTAAGTTTAATGAATAATTGAGTACAGTAGTTTGGTAGTGTGGGTTTTTACCAAATTAATAAAATTAATTTCTCTCTTCGTCAGGTATTGCCCACCGAGATTTAAAGCCAGAGAACATTTTATGTGAAAGTCGACACTCAATTTCACCCATTAAGATTTGTGACCTCGGGCTTAGCAGTCGCATGCAACTAGATATGAAGTGCAATTCCCCAGTAACCACCCCAGAGCTTCTCACCCCTGTTGGATCTGCCGAATACATGGCTCCCGAGATTGTCAATGCCTTCATTGACGATGAGCTTACTACCTCGTACGACAAGCGGTGCGATTTGTGGAGCCTTGGTGTCATCCTCTATATTATGTTGAGCGGGCAACCGCCATTCACGGGTACTTGCGGAGAGGAGTGTGGATGGGAGCGTGGGGAACCTTGCTCGGATTGCCAGCACATGCTGCTCCAGAGTATCCAGGATGGAGTTTATGAATTTCCACCAGGTGAATGGGGCGGCATCTCGGATGAAGCCAAAGACTTGATAACTCATTTGTTGGTGCGTGATGCTCGTCAGCGTTACACAGCCAGTATGGTGCTAGAACATCCATGGGTTAAAATGGTATGTTGCATAATTTTTCTTTAAAGTTTGTGTTGCCCAAGCCCAACCAACCCATTATCTAAAAAAAAAAATAGGTCCACTTTATAAGTTCATTTATTTATGCTAGACAAAATAATAAAACATTGTTAAATGTTACTATACATATCTTATTACACTGTTAATACTTATATCTTTTTATGAATTTTCTTCAGGCTCCCACCACACCTCTGCTGACACCCTCTATAATGAAACGTAACAACAGTGCAAAAGATTTATCGCAGTTTGCAGCAGATGCTGTCGCAGTAAACAGGATGGTCTCGCAATACGAAAACTACACTACTCTTCCGGCTATTGTTGATGAAAGAGAACGATCTGGTCCAGATGAAGCTGGTACAAGCCCCGAGACAGAGCAGTCTGAGGCCAGCAGTGCAGGCTTCTGTATGAGGTTGTCTCCCCCAGGGAGCTCGAGCCTGGCAAGACGCCGAGCTGCTGTTCGTAGTACAAGTAGTGAATTGGGTGGAATATCTTTTGAGATCTAGAAAAAGTCATTGAAAGTTTTTAAAAGATACTTAAAATGTACAAAATACCTGACCATTTGAATTAGATACTCTAACTCTATCTTGTACAAAGTAATTTAATATTCACTGAAAAAAAAATAATCTATTTTGATGTTACTGATATTTTAATGATACTTTTGGAAAGAGTGCCTTTAAGAATTTAATTTTGAATTAACATTCCCTAGCACACTATCTTTATTATTTGCCAGCAATGATCTTGTGTGTTGCGCTTGATTTGTGCGTTACTGTTTTCCTTTGTCAATTTGAGTGTTGGCAAGTTGCTTGGTCGTCTTAAGGCTTACATAGCTTTGTATTTTAAAGATATCGAAAATAAGATTCTTTTATCCACTTTAATCTGTTTCTTTAGTAAAGGTCTATTGGATGAAGTTTCTTGTCCACCTTGACCTATGTGTTCTATTTGGTCATATTTGCAATCAGTTCTTTTATCAATTTACTCTTTGTTGCCTATTTCTTCTGTATTGATATTGTACATTGATACTGATTTGTACATAAAAGCTAAAAAACTTTTGTACAGAGTTTTCCAAAAGGAAATGGTACCACATTGTGTCCAGGCAGGCTACGTTTGTAGGATTGCGAAGTATGTTAGCAGAGACATTGATTTGTCCGTAAATGAGAAATTTATCAAGACATACATTTTTATTTTCATATTAAATATTGAAGTGTTGTGAGTGGTTTGTAAATAAATGGTTCTAATGGAATATTTTGATCAGTTCTTGCCATTACAATATTTCTGGTGTTTTATTATAACAAGTCTTCCTTGTTTGAACAGGGAGCTCAAAATTCCATTTTGTGTTGTATTTTAGGTAAATGTTATTTGTTGCAGGAGCAAGGAGTTTAATCTTCGTTGTGAATGTTGATGACATAACTTCTATCTTTATTTGACAGTTGGTTTGTTTAGCTCAATTATGTAATGGTAAGAAAGTGTTTGACAGAGAAATGGGATGACAGTGGAACATTAAACAATCTTGCATATCAATTTTTAATTATAGATCCGTATGTATAAAAGTTTATGGAAGGAATTTCAAAAGGTATCTAGGTCTTCTATTTGTTTTTAAGAATTTTGGCATTAAATTATAAAAAAAAGTATTTAGTTTCATAAGCACAAGTTTGCACTTGAAATTTCAGACAGTATTATGTAGTGTTCAAAGTAAAGGTGTTGTGGTGGCCTTAAGCAGAATAAGACAGATAATGGTTGCATTCATTGTTGTTTTGTGAAATTAATGTTAATACAGTATGGTGAATCAACTTGATATCTTACTATATTGGCTAATTTTCATAAATTTCTGCCTTTGCTGGTAGAAATTGTTTGTAATCTCTGTCCAGTAATACAAGGGTGTAAGCCAATAAATGTGTATGTACATTGGTTGTGCTTCTCATCCAATTTAAAGACTAGAAAACATAAGCCATGGCATAACCTCAGGAATTTAAGCTTTACTTAAAATTAAGAATAAATTATGGTGCAAAGGAGATAGTGGTTCTCGGACAAAAGGAGTTTCAATTTAGTCTAGATTTCCTATTTTTATTTTATTGATGTAGCTATTTGCGACCGTGCAATGTTTTTGAACTAGTTATACTAGATAAAGCCCACATTTAATTTCAGTTAATGTATGCATAGAGAATTGTTTTTTGGAATGTCTTAAAATTTGTTCGACTCAATAAATATTAAAAGAAATTGTACTTGTACTATAGTTTACTTTCTTTTGAAAAATTTCAGCCTTCTCAGCCACAATTAAGTTGGCGCACAATTAAATTGGCGATCAACAATGAGACCATGACAAAAAAAAAATTGGGACAGTTCAGAGAGATCTACAGTATTTGCCAACGAAAACCATGATATGGTCCCCGACCCCCTCAGATCTGCTAATGCCTAGATCTAGCCTAGATTGCTGAGAACGGGGAAACCCAGTTTGCCAGAATGCCCGATTGCCGTGTCGACTTTGGCCAAACCCACTGTGGAGAAATCCATTAAAAGCAGTGAAACCATGACACTATCTGTACGCAGTGCTGGTGCCGGCCGACGCGATGGGATCGCTGCATGTTTCTGTAGTAGCAAAAAAAAAAATCGATGAAATGGGTCAGTTAAGCATAATTTATAAAAGTGGCGCAGGAGAATTTGCCCTCCCTGACCCCTGCTAGTGACATTATTAAACAGGTTTGTATATAATAATCATTAGAGTTGCGTATCATACGCTAGGAGAAATTATTTTACAGCGGTTAGATGAGGCATGAAAATAATTTCTGAATATTTTTTTGAATGCATTAATGTAACCAAAGCCCTCATAAATTTTCTGGCATTAATCTAACCTTCGTTAAAATAATTTCCACTAATGTATGATAGGCAACTCTACTAATTACAGTACTTAATATTAAAATGAATGATTGAATGTTACTGACAAAATTTGTGTATATTTTTGTTCTTAAGATACAACGTAAAATCCTTCATTTCATTGTTTTTCCAATATTTTGCCTTTTAATTTATATAAATACGGCTCCTACCTGACCCACCATCATACTGTATTTTCAACAGCACAGTAATACTGTCAGCATAATATGTCCCTACTTTTGTACGATGGCAAACTTGGTTTCGGCAATGGATTGTCATGATTTCTGTGAACTTGAATTTGGCAAGCTGGGTTTCAGAAAAATGGCCATGGACGCAACACACTGGGTTTCGGCAAACTAAAACACAGTTTTCTACATCTAGAAAACTCAGATCGGAACATCTAGAGCTGATTTTTAGACCATACCATTATTTTTCATAAGGGAGTTTTAGACTTTAAAAAAGAGGGTTTATTCACAGCTGATCTTTTGTGAATTATACTATACAGTGTTCACGAAACTACCATTATTTTTACAGATATTTAAACTAAAAATCAGGCGCTCCTCATTGTAGGGCTGAAGTTAGAGGGTTGTACTTTTATTATTTAATCTATTATCATCACCATCATCATTAGTATTATTTTTATTTATATTATATTAATACTATACTGTAATTAATAATGTTAAATTCTTTTTTTATGTTATTAGTAACATGCCTGGAAAAGCAATCATACTTTTAGTTTAAACCTATTTTTTTGCAAAATTGGGATATATTTCATAGCCGTCGGAAGCATTTTGCAAGTGGTCCGGCCATTTTAATAAGAGTGGGTGTGGGTGGATGGTGTTGTGTAACATTTCACCATGGTTGAAAAAAATGGCTCTTCAGTGGGGAAATAGCACATAAATAAATGCATAATTTAAAAAAAATGATGTTTTCACTTTTAATTTAAGGGTTTAAATTTTAACCGGAATAGGACTAATCAGGGCCAGCTTGGCCATTATACTTTGCCAAAATTTTATAATAGTTATTTGTTATTTTATATTATACCTCTAAAAATGTATCAATCTTCAATATTAAAATAAAGGATTGTCAATAAAGTTGAAATGTACAATACAAAACAAGCTCATGGTGGATTAAAATATATATATAGGCCTATACAACATTAAAAAGATACGAACATTAATAATACTGTAAATGCACATAATATAGTAGTGTATATTCATTAAAATAAGTACAGTCCTTCCAGAAACATTTCTGCGGCCTCCGTTGGATGGTTATCTTTTATCAGCTGTTGCCTCCAATTAAATATATCCTATATTTAAAGACCATGGTTTTGGTAGAACTGAAAATTTCCCCTCCAAGTAAAGACCAAATATAAAATAGACAGTGATCTTAATGCATTTTTTTTTCTACAATAAATTGTGTTATGTATGACTCAGACGTAGAAATATTAGTCAATGCCCTGTTTTGTGTATTGCATTTTGTATATTGAATGACGATAATGTTAGAGACAATGTTAGTAACATTTTAATGGAAAGACAAGTTGAAGAGCATGCAGTTACTGTACACCATTTAATGTATTATTTTTTAATTCACCTAAATAGATAAATCTAAAGACCACATTTAGTACCCATGAGTTCCAGTCTCCCGTAGAGTCCCAGAATGGAGTCTCCTGGAAACTGGCAGGAAGGACTCCCGCATTCTGGCCCGCAAGCAAGCACGAATTTCCCCCAAATAACCCATCTCCGCAAATTCATGATGATATTTGCATGCTTTATCAATTTTTTATACTGTAATATCAATTGTCTGCGTAGCAGTTAATGCCAATCATTATTGGTTATCAACATGCACAGCAAAAATGTCATAAGAAAACTCATTTAAACAGATCTCTCGGATGTGGATTCTTCCAAATTGGGTCCCCTGTTGAGTGCTGGTCTTTAATTATAGGGATTCTATAGACACCAAAAGACCATGGTTTTGGCAGACCAAACTGAAAATTTCTACTATTTAAAATGTATAGTGGTTTTAGTCTTTTTACACACTACAGACATCAAAATACATCAAAAGCCTACGTTCTGTGTACAGTGCTCTGTATTGAATGCCAATAGTTTTAGTAGGACATTGAAATAGTATTTTTCTCATTAAATGGAGCGAAGGTTTTGTGTGTGGCATGCAGTAATTCATCCCAAAACACTTGGAAGAAAAAATTCTACCGTAATGTATAATATCATGGTTTTGGCAGACCCAACTAAAAATGTTTCCTTCATTCAATAAATACATTATTTCTGATACATAAAAATATAGGCCTATAGCAATTTTAATGCATTAAAAAAAATATGATGATGATAGATATAATTAAGATGATGTTTTGTGTATCAGTGCTCCATATTGAATGGACTGTGCTGTTAAGAATATTGTAATGGTTAGGTAGGGACACAGGACTTGATGTGTGACTTGACTACTGGGAAATAGTTTAAGCATTAATAATAATAACAGCATACACTAACTGTAGGCCATCCATTCTAACAATACATTTACTATATCTTTTCTTAATTTCCCTCTAGAGATATTTAAAGATATACTTTTATAAAGCTGGTCTTTAATTATAGGGATTCAAATTAGAGACTAAAGCTGCTAAAGACCGCTAAAATGCTGGTTCCAAAAGGGATTTTTAATTGGTGGTATGGAGGGAGACATGTGATTGAGAAAAAGTGTTCCGGCCAAAGCCGGTGCGGTTCCGACGGCCCTGTATTTGTTTAGCCCTACACTAGCTTGCGTATTTTCAGCCACCCCTACTATCAGCACAGGCTGTTATTCCACAAGTTCACCTTAGGTTTGCAATTGGCTAACAGATCAATTCTTATCTTATCAGTTTATTTGTTTGACACTGGTTTGCAATTAGATTAGATAAAAAACACAAGAAATAGGGATTCAAATTAGAGACTAAAGCTGCTAAAGACCGCTAAAATGCTGGTTCCAAAAGGGATTTTTAATTGGTGGTATGGAGGGAGACATGTGATTGAGAAAAAGTGTTCCGGCCAAAGCTGGTGCGGTTCCGACGGCCCTGTATTTGTTTAGCCCTACACTAGCTTGCGTATTTTCAGCCACCCCTACTATCAGCACAGGCTGTTATTCCACAAGTTCACCTTAGGTTTGCAATTGGCTAACAGATCAATTCTTATCTTATCAGTTTATTTGTTTGACACTGGTTTGCAATTAGATTAGATAAAAAACACAAGAAATTCTCACTCGGCCAAACCAGGTCATATCAACGGTATGGGTCTTGGCGCAGTGTTTTCACTTACCTCTACTTCCCTATACCATAAAAAAAAAAAACACCACCAGATTTAAAAACTGTATTAAACTAACCGATTCAAATATGATAAATTTTCAACTATGGAATATCACACATTCATAGAATCATTACAAAGATAAGGCCAAAAAAAAAAACAATGTGTTGGTCAAGCCTGACCGACTAAATTTTACAAACAATATTTTTTTTATGAGCAAATAAGGCTGGAATAGCTTTGGCGAGGCAAAGGGGCCAATGCGATGCGATTCCGAAATTGTTGTATTACTTGTGTACTTTCTACTTTTTAGGCGTATACACATACATACGTATTTGGTTGTCAAAAAAAAAAAAGTTTTCCTACTGACCTACCCATTTTTTGTATTTTCCCAAAATGTAGCTAACACAAACATTTTTTTTTTGGCCTAACTGTAACATGCGGTTTCATCGCTCAAGGAATGGCAATTGAAAAAGCAATTTCAAGGAAATAATTAACACAAACAAAACACCATCCATTTACATTTCTTCTTTTTATTTTTTCCTTAAATTAAATAAATTTATTTATATAACAATGAAAACATAGAATAGTTATCAGAAACAATTATAAAAGATAAAGTAACCAAATAATTAAAGTTTACATATTACTTATCTATTAATGTAAATTCTATGATACTTCTTTTTCAACTTCTATTTCAATGTTGTAGATTTGCGCATGTGTAGATCAGTGAGATAGTGTTGGATTGCATTTGTGAGTTATTATGAATAATTATTAAAATTTTACCAAACTAACCTATGAAAAAAAAATAATTCAGGGTATATTTCAGACAGCATGCACCCTCATAGTGATCACATCAAATTACATTTAGGGTTGTATTTAGCAACTACCTAGGGACAAATGCAGTGATAGTCCAGCCGTCCATCCATCAACATCGATGTGCTAATCCTCCAATGTCACTCACTCATCGTTTCATCTATACTTCTAGAACTACCGTAACTACATGGGGTTTGAGCCGCTATCATAATCTTACTATTGTAGAAGGACTGTGTTGCTAACTTATATCTTTTAATTAGAATTCTTCTAATTTTAATAACACTGATTTTAAGTGTTCTAATTTATCGTAAATAGAGTGTTTCAAGCTATTAAGTTAGTTAATTTAACATAAGTTTGAGTTACGTTTATCTGCTTTCTGTAATTATTTAATTTAGTTTAAATAATTTCTTTTAATCTGCATTGGTTTTTGAATCATATTTTATATAACGGTTACATTCATCTTTATATAATTATTCTGATAGTATTAGAATTTCTGCCGATTTCAATCTTGAAACTTTTAAAGCAGGTAATATTTAATAAAGTTTAATAATATGTTACATTTATTCAGTCCTTCTCAGTCTGTCTAGCATTTGAATCAGTATCTTAATTTTAATTTCAGTCTTAATTGCTCGTCTCACATTTTCTAACGCTACTAAATTTCATTATATCCGTTGGACGGGCACCGATGGTGACATAATTTTTGGTGCCGATACCTGTGACAGACATTTTTTTAACAAGAAAAGAGACTATTCTTTTAATTAATTTAAAGTTCAAAAAATAACTACAGTAAATTATTAAGTAATATTTATTTCAATAAACTTGAGAGAATATTTGATGCAGAATTCTCACAGCAGAATGGAGATTGTAGCATATTGCCATAGTAGAGGGCAACTAAATGAAAAGAACATGGAAAATTATAGCAGCATGAAGTTATAACACTGTCAGTCTTATTAGAACAGAAATCTTAGTTTACACTTTTTACTTATTTCAGAACAGCAAAACTTGGAGCAGCGAAGATGGAATAGCAGACTAAACTTACTCAGTTTAACTTTACCATTAAGTACAAGCAAGATCATTCATTACAATAAAACCACATGAAAAAACCCTAAAAAAAAAAAAAAAACAGAGGTAACGAATGGCTATGTTAATTACAGACCTGCCTATGAGATTCCACTAATTACTGAATGTAAGTCAAAGGTTGATTTAGCAAAACCCCAATGGTCAAATCTAATAATTAGAAGATTGACTGAGCACTGGAAGAATTAAGAATACAAATATGGTGTTTTTATCAACATTACATTTATTTTTTTCTCTTAACTTTTTGATGTAAATTTGGTTTGGTGGACTTGTCTTTTCCTTTTACAAAATCCAAAAAAATGTTAGTGTTTTATCATTCTCTTTCATGTCGCGTTTTCTTTTACTTCAATGTAGATTTTTGATGTGCTAAATGGTATTGTGATTTTGTGATAATTATATGTTCCAATTTTTTCTTTTAATGTATATTTCTTATGTATTTTTTAATTTTTTTGTAAATGTATATTTTAAAATTCTGTACAGCGCCGGTGATCATTTTAAATGGATATTGTTTTACGCTTTATTAAATAAAGTTATTATTATTATTAAGAAGAGTAGGACAACCACCTAAAAGGTAACAGCTAATGCGAGCAGTTTAATTGAACCATGCACGATTGACTCCACACATTCAATTCAATTCAAAATAAATTTAATTCTAGCTATTCTCCTTAAGTATCTCTTTGATTTCATAACTCTACCAACTGATATCATTGTTCTCAGATTTGATGAGGCCCTTTGATTGGTATGGTTCCTGCCTCTTGCACACCAGGGCCCTGGTTCGAGACTCGGCTTTCTTAAATTCAGGTCTTTTATAAAAGCTCAGCTCCTCGAATAACCCTTTCAGGAGAGTTATGTGAGTTAAGGACCATCTAGTATCTGTTGTACATTGTAGTTTAAGTCGGGTGGCACTGCTCTGCGGCCGCCGTGGGTCCATAGGGACCCATCCCAAATTTCCACAGTATATTACATTTGAGGACAAATAAAGAATATTATTATTAAACTATCACCCATCTTTCAAAACTGCATTGACGCTGGCACAGCAGATGACTGAAAAGAAAACACTACGACAACAAGTTAAAAACAACCAGATTGCGGATTCCGAATCATTAGATATGGGGGCAAGAGTATTTTTAAGAAATTGAAACAAGATTCAAGACATGTGGAGCGATGCTCCTTATGAAGTCATTGCACTGATGGTGACGACATTGTAGATCGTGTGGATGATCAGATGCGATCTATTTTGAAAACTACTAGGAATTATTAAAAGATACTGAAACTCAGTCAATTATATCTACAGTACTAAGAAAAATGTGCCTGCAGCCAGCCTTATAGATCTGCAGAAATAGTTGATCAAACACTGCCAGCCTTCCACCCAAGTAAACAAAATGCCTAGAGTTTATTGTACAGCATAATTATTATTTGTTTCACTATAGACAGGAGTCGAGGTACAAGAAACTTTCTCAATCGACACAGCCCTTCGAGCATACAACGCATCGTCCACAGTAGTTGTTACAATTACTAATAATATAGGAACATACACACAAACAAGATTTGGATATGCAGCCGAATACTTACCGATGGTTGAAACCATTTCTCCAAAAATTTAAGAACAAATTATATCAGGTAGGGATGTTAATCTTGCATTGCTACTAATTCCATATTATAATGGGCCTCCCAACGATAGCAAAGATGGAGTAAATTGCCCAGCTAAAGATAGACTAAACAGACGCCTAAATATTGGAGAATTTATTCATGCTTTTGGTATTTATTAAAATATACTTTGCAGCACATACCCCCAACGCAGGGAAGAACTTGACCAATACGAAAGAGACATAGTAGACATGGCGTCTAGATACCCTGGCAAAGGCTTCTACAAATAACATAAACAGTGTAGAGTAAATGGTGGAAGTGGTGGATTGACAGACGCACTAATAAAAAAGCTGGCTGATGATTACAGAGCAGCTATTATGTCTATCACAACAACTTCTACTAACCCGGATGAAATCCAAAAGCATGTTGCCAAAATGAGGAGTAACATTATGGGTCAACAGTGGAAAAGGATACCGTGCCTATCCCCGATATCATGAAATGAGCTAGTTGGTCAAGTGAAAGTAAAGTGAAGTAAACAATAAACTATTTAAGTACAAAAAAGCAGTTGTTTGGAAATTCAATAAAGTAATTTAGAAAATAATTATTACCTCTGAATTCTTTTAAATAGCTTTACCACTAATCGCATCCACTATCACTTATTTTAATCTTGGCATGTATCAATAAATCTAAGTTTGTCCAGTGAATGAATAATCTTAGTTCAGTTTATAACTTGACTTCCTCTCCCACTACTTACTAATGTTAGGCCAAAAAAAATAATAATTTGTGTTGGCCACGCCCGACCGACACAAACTTTACGAAATGAAGGGTCGGCATTTTAGTTTTTTTTTTTAAACCATATTTTTTTTATAAGCAAATAAGACTGGAATAGCCTTAGCGAGGTTAGAGGAAGGTACGCGATGCGAATCCAAGATTATTATATTATTTGTGCATTTTCTACTTTTTAGGCATAAACACATATTTGGTTGTAAAAAGCTTTCCTACCGACCAGACCAACAATTTTTTGGATTTTCTCAAAACGTGGCCAACACAAATTTTTTTTTTTTTTTTTTTTTTGGCCTTATGTTAACATATGTGAGGTGTCGTGACAAAATGAGTCTTGTAGTACACCAGCTCAGTTTGAGATATTCAGGAAAATATATCTGAAGTGATATTTTGACAAAAATTGGGTTTCAATGATTCTGATAAGTTTAGTATGTATATTTCATAGTAATAACAGTTCTGAGTTGAGTTACCTTAAAGTCAAATTTGTTTTTGAGGCACATTTTGTAAAGTAATTTTTCAGAAATGTTAGGAAAACCAACAAAAAAATTATCATTTGCTTATCTTTAGAGGAGATTTTCTCTTAAGTTTGTTTTTAGACAAACTTAAAAACGATGTTATACTCTAGTTTAACTCAACTTAAGAACATATTCAAAGACCAAAATAAAGCTGATATAGTAATAAATTTATCAATAACTCATTGTTCATTTTTTGTACCAGACTCATTTTGTCAGGACAGGTCACATATATATAGCGGACAAAGTATGCAGGTTATACCATGTGTGTATATGATCTCCTAGTTCTACTCTCGATGATGTCTTAATGTCAACAACTAGCTTCACATTGAGGTCAACTAGCTTCTCCATCTGTCTCATGAGTGTAACTTGCAGCAATACCTTTCCGTCCCTGCACAGCTAGGGTGACAGGAGTTTCTCCAAGCTTCTGTTGTAAACCCTGCCATGATCTCTCCGACAGGAACTGGCCTGAAAAATACAAATACATAAAGTTCACTGAAGCATTACATGATCACAACATCTGGCAGAGTAAATACATTAGAATCTCTTCCATAATGATTTGAAAATTGTTTAATAAAACTACATATTTGTTACCAAGTACTTATATAGCACATTTCCTTTAGTTAAGATACATTTTGTCCACCTGCAGTAGCAAGAAACCCCGCCTAATGCAGATTTCAATCGGTTGCAGAACGATGCACCTTTGGTGTATGGTGCCTTTTCTAAATGGGAGAAACTAAAAATGACATACAGTACTTATCACTGCAAAAAAAATGCATGCATAAAAATATGCATCAGAAGTACTCAAAACTAGTACTGGAAGGTTTCTAACCCTATCCCCCCAGCACCAGTGGGGGGGGGGGGGAGGAGCTTAATCCTCCACCGTCAGGCAGTCAAACAAAGTGGGGGGGGGGGGGAGGAGCTTAATCCTCCACCGTCAGGCAGTCAAACAATAAAAAAAATTAAAAATAGGCCAACACCAAGCCAATACATGTCTGTCAGAGTCTGAGAGTGCCATTTCCGGTCATCCAGACGTTCCTATTCTTACAGAAAGACCCTTCTCCCAGCTAAAGTCCCCCTATCGGACAGCTTAGCCTCCCCAGGTATCCAGCACTGCCCAGCACCCCAGGTAGTGGAGTGGAGAGAAACAACACAAGTTAAGTGCACAATGAGGAATTAAACCCTGGAACTCCAATGCTGAAAAACCAAACCGTCTCCTCAACATATTGACACTCTCCTCGCCTTATCCATTAACAAAATAACATAAAAATACATCTAATAGCGTGATGTGTAATTTAAACTGAATTTGTCACCTGGAGTAACATGGACGGTACTCAGACTGAGGGCATCATCTCTTTTAATGAGTGCACCTCCTGAACACTCAAATTTTTCCTCATCATCTATACCCATCCTCCGCACAGAACCGGTTACCAAGGAAACATCAGGTTGCAGTTTTACAGGATCATCACTGACAAAAGGAACATAATCCACCGCACCTGAAACATAACCAAAAGGTGTTTTGTGAGGGTCGTCCCTGATCATTAGGGAACCTCAATACAAAAAGAAATACAATATAAAAAAAAAGTAAACATATCAAACAATAGCAAAATTACAATGCGAGGCTTTTTTATTCCTTGTTTCACGTACTTATTTTTTATCGGATTAGCAGAGGAGGGCGGAATAAAAATATAAATAAAATTTTGTTTTCTTATTTAGCAAATAGTTTTGCCAAAATCATCTTGACAGAGGAGAAAATAAAAATAAAATAATTGGTGAATGTAAATAGAATGGTTAAATGCTTGTGAGATTTTAAGGCAGCATAGGGCACAATAAAAATAAAGAAAAACTTAATTTTTTTCCCCGAAATTTCCACTTCTTTGTGGCGGCGGTTGCGCTAATTGGCCAAAAATGGAATTGTATTTTTATTCGCATTCATCAATATTTGCAGATATTTGCAGTCGGCGGTTTTGCTAAACAAGGTATAAACAAAAATTCTCGTCTAAATATAAATTACAACCAAGATACTGATAATATATAAATTTATAGAAAAAAATCATTTACATTAAATAAATCATTTTTAACTGTCAGTACTGAACAAAAATAAAATAAAACTGAAAAAAAATGTAATGTTATTATGTGTATGGTCCATTGTTGAATATCCAGTAAGAAATATGATTTAGGCTTATGGGTACTCAAGGCACCAGCACAGCAGTGACTACTTTTCAAATTGGAAATCGGAAACTTGGGAAACTTAGCTTAGCAGTTGGTCTGAAATAGTGCAGCGAGTTTGTTCTTGTTTGCATGTACTAATTAACACACACTACAAACTGCATAACTTATGCATACAAAAAAAATTATTATGAGCAAAGTATCTATAAGGTTACTGCACTTGACCTCAAAGCAAAGCATGCCATACCCAAAGCCAGAAACAAGATAAGTCCAATTTCATACCACTACAAAAACTCATCCCGCAATAACCTGAATTGCTTTTATTGCAAGTTACTGCACTCACTTTAATTTGAAAATTAGAACAAGAAAATATTTTATACACCATTAAATGACTCCTATAGTAATCATAATCTCAATAATTATAATAACAATAGTATAATAATTCTTTATTTGTCCTCATTCTAATAGGACATCAGTAATTTGGGCTGACCCTTGGGGATTAATTCAGCAGCTGCAGTGCAGTGCCACTCGCCTTACCTACAGTACAACATACACAACGGATACATATATTGTCCTTAACCCACCTAACTCTCAATATGCGTTTTATTTGAGAAGTCAAGTGATCAGACTGCCACTGAAACCCAACACTGGCCGTGCTTGGACCGGGGTCTACAGTACAAGAAGCAGGAACAGTACCTCTTGGCTAACCGCTGAACTCCTCAAATTGGCTGGTAGTCAATTCCAGATGCTAAAACTGAATTGTTTTAATTTATGTCAATATTTTAAAAGGGTTCTTTTTCCATATTTTAATTTAATTTTTCATATTTTATATTAAACCTTTATATGTTATTTTTTATTTTACAATTTGAAATTAGTGCAGATATGTTATAAACGTAATGTCTTTTAAATTGTAGCATAGCAACACAGTAAACTTTCAGATTCCAACACAAACGAACCTGGTAACAACTGCCGGAAGTCTGTAACATAGACACCAGTCCATTCCCGTGCTTCATTGCACGCAATTTCCATCTCAAACGGTGTAATGATTGGTCGATAGAATTCCTTGGAATCAATCAGGCTATTCTCTGGGCAGGCAACTAACACGTAAACATCAACTTCCGTAAAATTGGCCATTTTCGGCACATTTAATTTTCCCATAACAAACGTGTAACTTTTCTTTCCCATACGTTTAATAAGCGCCTTCAAACGTGTTATTATTGATAGGTAGTCCTTGACACCTAATGTGCCCGCTACAATACCAATAACATTCGCGTCCTTTGCCTTTTCTATCATGTAATATCGTTTCATTAATGCCCGGTTCACGTCCAACGTTTCGCGTCGACAAAAATTAGTTGCAGGATCAAATGTAAAAAATGTACATTTGTTGAATGTCATAAGAAAATTTGTTAAAGTGATGCTTTGTCCACCGATGTAAAATATCTGATAATCTGATATATCCTTTCCTTTAGGTAAAACAAATCTACGTCCAAATTGATTATAAACGTTTTCTGATTTTGAGTTTGCTTCATCTTTGGTTTTAGCTTCTTCATTTCGAGATGTTTTTTCATTACTACCTTTAGGTTTAAACTCTTTGCAAGTTTGTTGATCTATAGTTGTTGATACGACTAAGCTTTTGAAATCACCATGCAATCTTGAAAGCATATCACCTGCAATTGAAATTAAGATTATGAATGAATAAAAATGATGAGAGCAATATAGCTATTGCTGGAGTTTTGTAAGTCTTTTTACTTAAGATTCAGGCACATAAAATAGACAAGAACATATTGAGATTCGCTTTAAATGAGAATGGTGTAGAATTACCAGAGCAGTAGCTGTAGACTACATCAGAGATTATCAGGACTTGTTGATCTGGAGTGAAAGTTTCTCGAAATGCACTTTCGCATAAATCTAGATCGACAGGCTGACGACCAAACACAAGCAGGACTGGTAAACGGCCCGTTGGGCTCATGCATGAACGCCCAAAATGAATGATAGCCTCTGCATTCACATGTAGGGCAGCAATTTCGTCAACACAGCAACTGAAATTGAATCATATATAACTTTTACATTTTTCTTTTTTTATCAAAACTATGTTACAAAATCTAATCAGTAGGTTGAGGTTGTAAAGGTAATACTACTATCCTAATACCAAATTATTTTTTGAGAAGAAACAATACCTGACAAATGAATGAATAACAACTTAAAAGAGAATATTTATAAAGATGTCCAAAAAAAGACTATAATAAGTTATCGTACATTCTAAGACACACTTATATTATTATCCCAGACTTCGCTTGTCCTGCACGATAGATGCTTTATCTCACGTATTTACAATACTAGGAATAGAAACAATGCAAAAAGTTTTAATTACTTCTGGGGATAAACTGATTGTGCATGACGACAGGGTTTGTTCCCATATAAAAAATGTTAATATCAACTATACTATCAACAATAGCAAGAGTGGAAAAAGGAAAAAAAAAAAAAAAAAAAAAAGAGGAGGGAGAAGGAAAGAAAAAGAAAAATCAATTTCTGAAAAAAGAAGTCAAAAAATTCATTGTGGTATTAATACATCTGAAGTTTTTTTTTTCCTTTTATATTGAGTGATTGTTTTTGTACCATTAACTAACTTTTTCAAACAATCGTTGTTTTCATTTTCTTTTTTTTTTTTGTCCTTTGTTTTTATGTGCTTTTGTGTGTCCTTGAGCACACAACTTCTTTTGTTTTTGGAAATAAAATATAAAAAACACTTTGTAAAGAAAAAAAAAACAATAGCAAGGTAAATATGCACCACATCCACATAACTGAAGCCAAATGGGCTTAATCTCAAGAAGGCCCATTCTTCAGTTTGCAAAATTAGCCTCGAAAAGAAGCCCATCTTGAAAAAAACAAGATAGATAGCGGGCTTCTTTGCGCGATAGTACAATCAAAGAAACAAAATGAATTAAGAACACACAGTAGGTCAGGTGATTTATTGCCGGGTAATACACTCCATGACACAGATTGATGTTACAGTGGCCCTATTTATTGTTTTATAATACTAACTCCGAAAATTTACAGCATTCATTTTGAAAAGAAGCCCCCCTCTTTACTTTGCTAAAGTGGCCTCGAAAAGAAGCTCATCTCAAAAAGAAGCCCATCCAAAGTTTACAAAGAAAAAGAAGCCCGGGGCTTCATTTCAAGGTTTTACTGTATTTAAAATGCAGTGTCATATATATTTAACATGCTCAGTAATATGGTCAGATGGCTGAAGTGGATTTCTGATTTAACATTCAGGACATCACTCACTCGATATTTCAAGCAGTGCCATATCTTATCTCATATATTATTTTCTACAGATGATTGGTTATTGTCAAGTTATTTCGGACCCTATAGAAAACAGAAGCCTTGGGAGCCATTGTCTCCTTCAAAAATTGCATTCAGCCCTGCTGGCTTTGCGAAATTTTTTCAGGAAATAATAGCTTTTTTGGCCTCTATTTCCTATAGGGTTCTCAGAACATTATATTGCATAATATTATATACCTCCTACATAGATTCTAGGTATTTGATTGGTTACAAGTGGGCAATAGAAAGTACTATTCCCTAAAAAAACACTGTAGTTCTTGTTTGACCTGTCGCATGGTGAAAACTCTAGCCCAGGCCTATACTTCTTGACGAAGCTGATAGCAAAAGCACCAAAAGACAAATTAAATAATATGTCTTGTCAATAGTCGACAAATATTGCAAGACCATGGGTTGAAATTGAGGAAATGAGCAAAGAAATGCTAGACACTCTTTGATTGCCTAGGACCAAGTTAGTAGGCCTCTGGGCTAGACTCGGAAGTAAGTACATTTTAGGCCTCGTAGAATCTATGTATGTGGTATATTAAAATAACTATTGACTGCTCTAGATTCAGGGAAAGGTGAAATCTATTTCACTTCGGTGATGTGGAGACCGTAGCCTACCTTCGTAGCCTATCGGGGAATATAGGAGCCTACGATCTCCACATCACCTCGAAGCAATAGATTTCACTATTCCTCTCATGAGCAGTCAATACTTGTATACTAATATTATATATTACTAATTTAGTAGCCACATCATTGCTAATATGATACTTTTTAATAAGCAATTCATGGTTTTAATAGTAAATCATGTTTTTGACTGGCAATACTCCTTTAAGCATAATTTTACTGCAGAGAGCAGTAACTACTGTATACCTTCCATAAGATGTATCAGCAAGAATATAAAACTTGCTTTCAGTTCTTTCCTGCAGCTGGTGTACAACAACAGTAGAGTGCTCAAGTAGAGAGTCTGGAAACTGTAGAGCAACCTAGGAAAACAAAAGTTGCATTAAGTTTTCGTCAAAATTACTGATCAAGGAGAGTCTGGAAACTGCAGAGCAACCATTATATAAACAAAAGTTGAATCAATGGACCTTCCAGGAGTGAAACAACACGTGTTGTCTGTAATATCTGTGTTGGGTAATCGAGGACACTAAATAAACAGGAAATATGCCAGGTTTTGTTTCTTGCACATTGTGCTTTATTCAGCCATTGCGTTCATTGCTTAGTGTGTACTAGATGACGTACAGTAGTTGACCTAGGGTCAACAATTCTTCAGGATATTGCATCGTCCCTCAAAATGTTTGCATATGTTTTGACAATGTCATTTTGTTGGACATTAGCAACGATATCAAAGGGCCGGGGCTTAGCGGAAAGGTAGATTACTGTAGTGCTCGAGGAGACAGTCAATAATCTGTAGAGCAGCTCAAATACATAAAAAATTTCTCAATTGCTCGCAACATCTGAAGCTTGACAGGAATGTATTGCCTACAGCAAAAACATGCTGAAGAAACTTGATCATATATTATAAACATATCCCACTCCATGCATAACAAATACATGTACAACAGATTTATTTTTGCCCTCAAACAAAGAAATAGACAAAGGAGGATTTTCCACTTCAAAAATACCAAATAGATGGACATTTTCATGCTGTTTGACATTAGGCCTACTCTTCTTTTGCTTTCTTTGAAATGTTGTTAAGGTGGAATGCAACACATCACTGTCATGTCAATATTTCATCACAAGGCAAGACTCTTTTATACCGTGTTTAAAAGATCCTCAGAGAAGGGCAGAAAAAAAAAATTTGATTTCTTAATTTAGCAAATGGTTTTGATGAACACATCTATGCTGAAGAAAAAATAAAAATTTAAATGTTATTGGTAAATATAACCAGTATAGTAATGTGACTGATAAATGCAAACAGAGTAGTTATGCAATTGATAAATACTTAATATAATCATGGAAAAATTAAGATATCTTATTTTGGGAGATTACGAGGCAACAGCAAGCGTACGAAAATCAATTTAAAAAAAATATTTTTTATGAGATTTCCATGTTTTTGTGGCTGAAGGCACGATAACTGGACAAAAATAAAATTTCTAAAAAAAGTTTGTTTTCTTTAATTCTTCATTATTGGCCAACGGATGGAAGATATAAAAAAAAAATTGCCTATTGTAAGCGTGCAGAGAATATGATTAAGAACTTGAAGTACTGGAATTGAATTTAGTAATACAAAATACGAAATACGAAGACCTTTATTGCAATTTTAAATTAAATCAAAATTGAAGTTTAACAACAGTTGGGAAAAACATTAAAAAGACATCACATATGAGAAACATACAAATATACTGTAAACAAATAGAATTAAATAATTAGAAATAGTAGTAATTGTATTCAAAAAAACAGTTGGATCAAAACAACATATTTCTTTTGGAGTCCTTAAAAATAAAATTTAGCATACATTGACTCTTTATCTGGAACCATTTCTTGTTCTATACTTGGATGCATTATTAGAATACCACACACTTTAATTTCCAAAGCGAGATTATTCTTTAAAGTGATGACATCTGGATTCCCACAAAAGATGCTTGGTCTATCACTCCATGACATATAGGCCACACACACCACAGTTCACCTTTTTGTTGTTTTGCTGGCCAGACATTTTAAGTTATATTGACCACTTCTACAGTAGATGCCCAAAATTCCAATCTCAGGCCAGCTGTTTATGGCTTAAAAAATCATTCAAATTGATGATTATCTACTCATCGTTATCACTAAAATCTGTCACTATGAAAGAATAATTCAGATTCTTACACATTTGAAGTTGTTTCTATTAACAAACTGAACGCAGGTTTGGATTTCGAAGTATTCAGTCGCATCAATTGGCAAATCGTCATGGTATCCAATATGCTCTACCTTTCTGTCAAACACAGACTCAACGTTGCTGAAAAATGCATCCATGATAGCTCTGCCTAAAATATAAAAAAAAGAAAAGGTACCAGAATATAACAAACATACTAATAACACTGTGCACTAATTTCAACATTGCGTATACAAACCTCAATTTACTTCATGGTGATGCCAGTGAGGTGGGTGTGGGGAAGGAGGTCAGGGAGGGCATTTCCATGACATCTGACAGGCCTAGACCCCGTCGTCTGGCGCACCACTAAATCACTGGACCAAAAATCATAATTTTCTGATTCAAATAACGTTATTAATATTGTGTTTCCCTATCCCTATATTTTTTAGTCAGGTATTCAGAGCCAGAAAAGTATTATTTATGAAAGCAAATTATTTACATTTTACTAAGTATTCCATAGTACCCTGTAAACCTGGTATTTCTTAGTCTAGGTTTCGGAGCCTGATTTTTTATTACTAATGTATTATTATACAGCTACAGTATAAAATAAATAGTACAATATATATTGTAATATTGACATAGTATACTTTTACTAAAAGAATCAAAATTCCAGATATTTCTGAGTATAAGTTTTGTGGCCTGAATATAGGATTATGGGAGTAATAGCCTACATGAAAGCCTGGAATTAACTTTGATCGCAGCATGCTCTTACGTTTTGTTATAAAGTAAAAATGTTCACAGCAGACTAAAGAGATCCCCATACCAGACTTTGTCACTGGGGAAACACAATTTTACCAACTCTGATATTACGTTCATGCAATCTGGAGGATTCGAGTCATAAACGTAATTTATAAGGTACCTATAAATAACAAAATAAACAACTGCAAAGACAGTAAATGCCTTTAAGTCAGGTCTGGAAAAAGGAAACTGGTCTGGCCACCAACTGAAGTACAGCCCATACGTATCTGAGGAAGATTCTCAGATGTATCAAAAGGGACAAACGAGCGTAGGCCTGTAAGTCTTGAAGCATCAAGATAAATCTAGGTACCTGTATGGTTTTTCATTCACATGGCCCAGTAATTAATTTCATCTATTTTACCGTGTGAATCCCATGTTTTTTTTTACGAGCTGTACGTTAAAATTTGTGGTTGTACTATAAGTACAACATATCTGAAAGTTCCACTGATTAATCTCAGATAAGAAAGTATAATACATACTCCAAGTATTGAAATACACACCATCATGTTGGGATTCAATATTTCAACATTAATTATGTCATCATCAGGAATGAAAAAATTATCCATATTAGCAACCTTATATGCACTAGTACCAAAAGTGTTTAACCAATCAAAACATTACCTCTAGTAGGTGACATAGCAGTGATTTAAACAAAAGATCAAATCATTCTTACTCTAATGATCAAAGATACCTACAAAAACAAAGAAAGCTCTTTTGAAGCTCTGAGCCCATTGTTAAGCAAAGGCTGTAGTCTACGTATAGCGAACGCTTCTTTAAACAATAGGATAGACCAGTTTCGGAAGCTGTCAATAATGTAAGTACTAGAAAAAATTAAACCTAATTTATTACTTACATTACAGACGACATTATCATTTTCAAGTATACCTTGTAATCCTAAAACATATTGGAATGCCTCACAGTTTTTAACATGATCAAATACAACACTATCAGATTGTGAAGAATGTTATTAAGCACCTATCTGTCTTACCAATATAATCACTATTGCAGCCTGGACATTTAAAATGATAGACAACAGAACTTCTGTACTCCTTAGGGGGTTTGATCCTTAGTAGATATAAACAGAGAAACATTTTTATACTGCCATAAAGTTATGAATTTTACCTCTTTAATTAAGTGTTTCTTTACCTTATTTAAACATCTACGTAAAATGAACTCACCTGGTTTTCCTAGATAAGGCAATCTAACCCAAATCTTAATCAAGCTATCATCAGTAGGCCTATGTATACTTTTAGGTTCATTTAATTTCTTAAGTACATTATTAACAACTTTTAAAGGGTACCCATTCCAAGACATAAACTTCCTGATGTTACAAAGCTCTGTGTGAAGTTTATCAGGAGTACACAATCTGTGGGCTCTAGAAACTAAACTACGAATCCAGGAGATCTTACGGTTCCATGGAGCAAAGCTATCATAATGGACATATTAACCTGTATGTGTATTTTTACGATATATACTCATGCTTCCTACACTGTTTTTAAATTGTAAATCCAGAAAGTGTACTGTGTCACTGTTTTCAAATGATTCAAAAGTAAAATTTACCTGTCTATGAAAAGCAATGAAGTAGCTTAGAATTTGCGGGAAATCATTGGGCTTAGCTAATACTAGCGTGTCGTCAACAAAAGGAGTATAAAACTTAATAGTACCTGATTCAATAAGTTTAGGAACAATAGACTCTTCTAGTTCAGTCATTGAAATATTAGCTAAAACTGGGCCAAGAGGCGAACCCATTGAGACACCATCAGTTTGTTTATAAAATTCATTATTACATGTAAATACAGTTTTAGTACAGCAATCTCTAAGTAGTTTCCTTAGCGAATTTTTCTTAAGGTTATTAGATATCAGTTTCTTATTGTACACCCTATCAAGAATTATATTAATTACCTTAGTAAGTGGAACATTTGTAAACAGAGATTCAACATCAAAAGATACAAAACGGTAACCTAAATTATATAAACTGTTTGGTATAGCTTTAATGCGGTCAGCAGCATCAAAAGAATCTTTAAGGACAAAGTCATTAACCGTTAGAGGGCCTAATAAGTTTGATAAGTACTTAGCTACTGAATAATAACAAGTACCGGTCGTGTCAATAATAGGTCTTAGGGGTGGAACATTATCAAAATCTTTATGTAATTTAGGTAGTCCATGGGCTCTAGCAGGCATGGTTGATACTGGACGAATTTCTTTGTATTCAGTTTCAGTTTGTTCATTTCTATTAAATAGTGTCCGGAGGTAGGCTTGTAAGGAGTTAAGCTGTGTGGTTAATGAACAGTTAGATAGTTTCTTAAACTAAGTTGAATCAGAGAACAAGTTCATCATAGATGTGATATAATCAGTTTTCTTCATTATCGCAACACCATTTCCTTTATCAGGTTTAAGAATTACATACTTATTTTTAAAGTATTAATACGTTTGGCATCACAATTTAAATTTCGGTTATCAAAGTCAAGAAAGTTACATGTTATTGCACGAATTGAGTTCTTAATTTTCTCACGTTTAATAAATGATTTAGTTAGAGCATCAGCATTATTAAGTTGTTCCCAAATTGATTCAGCATAAACAAACATATCAGAGTCCTTAGGTCGTGTAGCTAATCCATTACGGATACCAAATGTTAAGACAGATTCTTCTTCCTTAGATAATGTTTCGCCAGTTTAGTTTAGTAATTATATGGTTAGTGTTCTTTTGATTATTGCATGTTCACGTAGAATGTTGTTAAATTTACGTCCATGGCGGTAAGACACCTTACGCATTTCCTTATCTACAGTAGTCCTAACATGATGCTTAATTACTAAGGCACGTAACCATGTAGTAGACTTAACGAGAGCGTCGTCAGAGACTGAAAAACTGTTCTTGCTTACCTTAAGTTGAGATCTAGTCCTAGCCTAGGCCTAGTCGTAGTTTTTGAAATTCGGGAGAACTTGAACAAATTCGGGAGACCGGGAGATGGCATGTAAATTCGGGAGAATCCTGATCGAATCGGGAGGGTTGGAACCTTTGGTAACGGCCAAGACTTTCTACCTCTATTTTGCAATTTGTCTGTAGCAAAAAGGCCAAGTTGTAGTTGATTATCTATGTAATGAGTTGTGTGTCACTATACTTAATGTAATTTTGTACTTTTTATCTTTGGAATGTTATACACGTATGTTCGTTAACAATTATATGAGTGCAGAAACTGATTTATTATTCATGTCGTCAAAGTTGTACAAACAACAAAAGGTGCATGTGTAAAATATTTTCTAATTTTATTCACAAATTCTCAACATTGGAAAATAAATACAAAAATTTTAATAAACATATTTCAAGAAGTAACGAAACAAAGTTGTATACTATACAGCCGCATATTTTTTTACATCACATTTTTATTCATTACCGTATCACGCAAGAAAAATATATCTAATGTATCAACATTTTCACATTGTAATAAAACATATCGGAGGATGTACAATAAAACTAACAATACACATACAGTATTATATTAATAAGACACATTCTATAATAATAATAATAATATACTTTATTTGAACATGGAGACACTTGAATCACTCATGAGTGTTTTCATCAAGGCCGTGCAAGGCCATACATAATTAGAAAAGAAAAGATTATTAAAAACAAAATGAGAAAACAACAAAAACATAATATCTTAACTACAGTGAAACTATCCCCCGCCGGACACCAACCCGGTATTTTTAAGTTTCAGGAATAAAAATAATGATTTACTGTATCTTTAAACAAATATAGATTTAATATTCTTGTTTTAATGGCGTATCCAGCTGTTGTATGACTACGTTCTCATTGGCGGCAGTTGTGTATTCGGTGGCCCCTTTGGCGTTCCATACATTTGGCGCGGCGGCCGAAATGAGTGGCGGCCGAAATGATCGAACACTATGCTAGGCCTACCTATACCTAGCTAGGCGCCTTGACCGGCCTACATGAATAATCATATTTATTACTGGGCCGCCGTTCCATTGCTTACTCATATCTATTTTAATACTTTAGGCCTATGTCAAAATAAATGAAAAGTAACCTGTGTTGGTTCATTAAGCAGATATCGTTTCCACCGTTCGATTCTGCATCCATAATGTGCACATGTTGATTACTGACTCAATTTTAAAGTGCGCCATCAATGTTGGAGAGGGTTCTCGATCTCGATCCAGAGGTGACGAAACTGATAGAGATCCTGCTGCAGACTGGCAGCGAGACATAAGTCAGCCACGCTTTGCAAAGCAGCCAGGCTTTGCAAAACAGTGACGTAGCTTGGCTCTTCCATTCTTAGCATAAGGGGAACTTTTTTTGAAGGTAGTATCGCGTCATTTTACGTCAAACCATAAC